CAGCGACGCGGATAATAAATTCGCGCATGAGCAATACGAAGAATCTGATATATCGGCTGTTACTTCAGCGACAACGCTAAGTGGCGGCGAGGAAGATCACAGCAAATCTGACTTCATGCAATCTCCAGAGCAGAGATCCTTAGTTACCGTTACTGTTTTTCCAGTACAGACACAACAGCACTCCAAATTCGCGCAGACCCAAAGTAAATATCAATTGTCCTAACTGTTAGACATGCACACAAACACCTATTTAGGCAAGCTAGTCATTTTTGCTAACAAATTCCGTTTTTTTAACTTGCAGATGTTGCAACGACAACCACAACCGCAGGCAATGATGTTTTGCGCGTGAATGCTGGCGCGGAATCTGTCACTGCAACACCAGCCGGCAATTACGCAGATACACCTGCAGCTGCAACGGCCACATCCGCTACGAATACGCAGTTAAAGAGCAGCAAATCGAATACATCAGCCAGCTCAGCGGCGGTTTCCATACCCATTGGAGGTGCACCAACAACCATTACTACCAGCAGCAAGACAACTACACAAAAAACTTCACCCATCACTTCGGGTGCCTCGTCATCAGCCACCTCGACCCCCACACATCATTCATATGCACAACCACAACAAATGCTGCGGCAGCAGTATCAACACCAACAACAACAGCAGCAGCAGCAAAGAAAAACCAGCATCAATGTGCATACAGCTGGCGGCGCAATGACTGCATCCATTAGTACTAGTAGTAGTGGTGGTGGTGGTGGTGGTGCGAGCGCAGTTAGTTCCCTACCAATGAAGCAGAGCGGCGCTGCTGCAAATACGAAAAAGGGTCGCAAAGCCTCGAAGCGCGCCAAGGAAAGCCAAAAGAAGCTCCATAAGCAAAGTGAAGTTAGTAGCCAACGCTTCAATGCTGCATCGCTAAGCAGCAGTAACAATAACAATAGTATTAGTAATAATAGTGGCAGCAACAGCAACAACAACAACAAAAGTATATTAACCAATGCCAATACAAATAATAATCTTAACAATAATTTAGAAACTAAAAATTTGACAACTACAACTACAATTACAACTACAACTACAAC